CACCGCGTCTATCCAAAAATGTGGCGGTAGCCATATTATATCAAATTTAAACAATATATGTACAGTTCAAAAGCAAACATAAAAACTTCAATATAAGTACAAAATATGGAAAGAATAACAACATACAATGGTAAAATCTCAAATTGGAATCAAATAAAATACCAAAAATGTCAAGAGAAAAGGTCCATCAGGTCATAGCAAAAATATGTAAACATGGAGGGATTTTCCAAAACACAAAACATTCAAAAAGAATTCTACACCGGCCCGCAAAATCCCTCCATGCAAAAACAGCAGGCGTTAATGACACCTTATTTAGGGTTCCCATGTTATCCCCTAATCCACACCGGAATAACGTGTAGGACTTACAGCAGTACGCCTACCCGCCATCCAACATGGATATGACCTGTCGTGTTAACTAGGTTCCTATACTTTCCCATCAGGCCCTTGATTCCCCTATCTATCGTGGAATGACCTAACGGTAGTATAAACCTTACCCAATTAACCCATACGAACATGAACAACGCGTCGCAAAACTGGTCATATCCTATCCAAGGACTACATTCTCTATCGTGGGGACGAGTCGCCAATCCACCACCACTTGCTCTGATCAGCAGATACCATGAAGTCCGTGATGCCAACTTATCAACAGAAGTTTTTGACCCATAAATAATATGCAAGGGTGGGATCTCCAATTTTGACATTTCATCGTCTCCAGAAGACCTTAAGTAGCATGACGTAGGATCAATATTTATCCTTCCATCTCCTGATGCAGAGGAGGTTTGAACAGTGTTCATCATCGTCGGTAACTCATTTGTCACATCAGTGACATCCAGTTTATTATCAACGTCTAAATGATTCCGTTCTGCATTAGCATCCGTTTCAGCGGCACAAGACATATGCTCAACAATAGCATCGTCATCACATATCACTGTAGACTGGCTGTTACCATCAAACACTTTCTTCTCATCATCACTCGACTGACAGTCAACCGTAATAGGAACAGTTACAGCTGCACAACCTTGTGCATCTTCAATCAACTTAACCTTCGTGACGAGGTCCAATGGCGTCGAAACACTAGGAGGCTCATTCGATGAAGTTGATAAACTAGTCCCTATAAGTGGACTTCTGACACTTTCTATATCCTTATTATCACTGTCACTACTAAGGTTCTGATGGCTACTATTTCCATAGCTAGTCGTAGCGTCCGAAAGAGCATGAGGTTCAGGCTTCTTAGTAATAGTAGCATCATGTCTCCTAGGCTTCTTAGCCGTTACTGTTCGTTCTAAAGTAGCCATAGAGTTAAGTTCAGCTGTACAATTTAACTGTTCTAAAGTTAAAGAAGCATTCTGCATTTTAATGGCCAAGTTCGTCAATGATTCAGGATCATTAAATTCTACATTCCCAGTTCTAAATAAGTCCTCTAAGGTTTCTCGCGCTATTACATGCGTCTGTCCAAAGAGCTGTTTTAGGATGGCCTTAGCTCTCTTATATCCTGATTGTGGATCCATAATAATACAGCCTTCAATCGCATTTTTTGCTTTTCCCTTACAATAATGAATTAAATACAATAAACGCACTTGATCATCCTTGATTCGAGGTTCTATAAACGTCTCTATCTGTCGTATGAACTTAAAATAGTCGCGAGACCTTCCATCAAAATATGAAAGTTCAACCTTAGGTAATTCTAAACCCTCTATCGATGACTTACAATAATAAATATCAGACATAACATGTGGGTTACCCATAAAAAGGTTATCATCAACGACTTGCCTAGAGCCCTGTGATCCGTCGAGCTCTTCCACCCTCCTCATGTATGATTTTTTTCGGTTTGACATCATAAATAAAGTTCAATAAAGACGGTAACGAATACAAAATAGAGTAAATCCAAAATTCAGTTCAAAATTAATGATACGTAGTTCCAACTTCTTCCCCCAAGGAAGTCTAGTATGATAAACGATTAAATTCCAAATGTTTCCTTGTAATTCTTAATAATCCAAATAGATCCAAATTATATGCGTTCTGGTAAATATTTCCAAGGTATAATTCACGCAAGAAGAACAAATACCAGACTGTAGAATCTATTTCGCCGGCGGCTGTCCTAATCGCGTCCAATAGAAACACTCCGGTACGTTACTCCTAGATCCAGGTCTCAGCCGAATCAAAAGGTCAAAAATTCTAGGAGAAAACGTCTCTATATTAATATAAAATGGAAATACAGAGGCTTACGGTATTTTTGTTTCTTCCAGGACTAAATTACTCCGTAGAGTATCTATTACAATAGCTAGTAAGTGACACTAAGTCCAGCAGCCACCGCGTCTGTCCAAAAAATGTGGCGGTAGCCATATTATATCAAATTTAAACAATATATGTACAGTTCAAAAGCAAACACAAAAACTTCAATATAAGTACAAAATATAGAAAGAATAACAATATACAATGGTAAAATCTTAAATTGGAATCAAATAAAATACCAAAAATGTCAAGAGAAAAGGTCCATCAGGTCATAGCAAAAATATGTAAACATGGAGGGATTTTCCCAAAAACAAAACATTCAAGAAGAATTCTACAGTTTGGTGTGGCTTTCGATTGTAGTAGGTACATACGCTTGGAACTGCGAGTATTTTGCGAGGAATAAAAGTCAGTCTTAATCGCTCTACTCAGCATATGACTGTAATAATTGACGTTTGCGTTTAGACAGTGAAAAATATACAAATAGGGAGATTTGGATATATCTCCCTATATTAAGTAACCGGGAAAAATCAAGTGTAAGACCGCACATCTGTACAACTACGAAATTTGTCGACAGACTTGACCATAAAGAGGAAAGTATATAGATAAAAAGACTTTGTATTACATAGAGGATTTTGTTAACAATCGTTCGAAATAGAAGTCACGAGTAAAATTGCTTGAAGCAACCTATCGAAAAGTCAGTCGTATAATGTCAACTGCAAGTAATGAAGATGACAACGGATACAGAGGAGACCAAACGTTTTAAACGTACTACGGGCAAACATAAGTGATATAAATCAGATCACAGGATATATGTTAGGAGAAAGATTCTTGTTTTAATTTCCCACTTCTGTGACCAAACCAATTGGCGGCAATCGTAATTCCGTGCGTTCTGACCTTGAAGTTTGTTATCTGTCCAAAGTGTGTGGTATTTAAAGGCTTAAGCAGTTCCTTTTTCGGGCTGTCACAGCAATACAAAGTTAAGTTCTTCGTTCTGTATTGGTAAGTGAAACTATCTGCAATTTAATTCAGTTCAACGTATTATTGTTTGCTTATTTTGTATCCCACTACTACCTCAAACCCGTCATGCAGCAACCCAAAACTACTCGTTTCTAATTGCTCTGATACTGAGGTGAAATATTGTTTCATTGATACCTCCGAAAAATAACACTTATTTTTTAGTCTTTCTCCAAAGCTTACAGCGCTTTTACAAAACACATTCGGTCGGTCCCAGTTATAATTCATGGTATTTCAGTCACTCCTGTGCGTTTGTTTCTTAATCCGCATGCGTGTCGCAGAAAAATTACTTTGTTAGAATTCAGGTCAAAACTCGTCATTTTAACTAGTATGACAATGAAGTCAGTACTAGACATTCCGTGGTTGTAGCTATATGTATGAAAGTTACTGTTGATGAATTATCCTACTTGCGTTGGGTCCCCGTGGTTTATTTGTTATAATTATCTACATAAAGCGACAATTTCAGTGTGCTTTGCAGTTATTTTTGAGTTTCTCAAATCCCTGTGTAGATGGTGGCAACTGCCGGTCATAGTTGATATCACCGTAATTACTACCTTAGGTTTGATTCTAAATATATTTACTAAAAGCCATTGATGTTTTATTAGCTATGATTGGTTAGAGACTATGTGACACTACTCAGAGTCGCTTCTAATAGCATCTCTGCATTCCCTCTCGATTTTGAATGTCAGTATCCTGTCATACATACATTTCCATCCTTTTTTCTCAAGCCACGACTGATTTTTGCTATATTTCGATTTTTTTGTTATTTAAATCCTGTGTTAACGTGATATGATGACTTGAGCTTACTCTCCTTAATTCCAAACTACTCCAAATACGACTGAATAAACTCTCTAGTGCTGTTAGGGGTGATAAGGTGGATGTTACTTACCGGTTACACACACTGTGGAAGGGTTTATCTTCTTGAGGAACCTGAAAAGGAATTCGGGTTAGCGTTGGTCTTAGCGGCCTGGAAGAGCGTCCGCAAAGCTAAACAGACAATTTTTTCTAGCCGGCTGCGCACGGCCTTTTAGGGAGAGCTTTCAATGTGTTAGGTTCGCTCTTGAAAATACCTCACTCCAGGAGATGGAAATCCGTGGAATGTTTAAATGTGGCTTGATATTTTGGGGTCAATTTTTTCTAACCTATTCCTTCCGTCATCAGAAGGCAGCATCACTACTGTCCCACCCCTTATACAGTCATCAGCACGACTTCACCCTCAGACCTTAAGTTGCTGCTTTTAATCTTACCGCTCTCAAGTAGACCTATCTGGCATAGTAGGACCTAAATAAATATATGTTCCAGTCAATATAGCTCGGCTAGTTCATCATGTTAAGCAAGCTCAACCATTACGTTAAGGTTGCAGCTACGTTCAGGAACCCTGTTTGTTCGACGACTGTAATGAGAAGTCACATACAGTTTTGCGGATGAATTTATTTCATGCGTTCATTTAAGCAGACAGACACAAGAAGGAAAAGCTTACAACAATACAAAGAGAGGTGATATGAAGAAGGTAAATGAGCCAACTTTTGTCTGTAGTAAATGTAGAGGTTTAGTAACACTGTGATGTACTAGTCTTTTTCTATTACACTCAAAGGTTTACATACATTTTGACTCATTCAACATTTTTTTGTTCCTTTTTTAGATTTTTTTCAAAACTATTCACAGCATTTTCTATTCTCTCTCTCTCTAAGCATAATCCTTAAACTGGATCATAGCAGTTGTTATTTGGTAAATATTTTCGGTTGTTAACAGTCATGAGTGACGATGATCAAATCCTACGACAGAGAACAGTGAGTTACATCTAATTTAGTTGATTTTGCTGATGCCATTGTCAATTTTTAAAATCATTTTACTTCACTCTACCGACTCCATTAGATTCATTATTGTTAGTGAAAATATTACGGACTATTGAAACCAATACCCGTTACTATTGAGAGAACACAAGAAATGAATGCACCTACGCCATTGCAAATGGTTTTGAGCCATATCATTGAGGGTCTCAAACTATCTATCATTATCATCTCGCGGACCCCCAACAAGGTCTTCGACACCTCCCGACATGACTCAATCCACTTGTCAATGACTTCATGGATTTGTGCCATGTTTTTATCTGGCCGCCCCTAGGTTTCTTCCAACGTACATGTACACCACAAATGAAGTTTCAATATTTCATCTATTGATCTGCCATCCTTACCTAGCCCCCGTTTTCTAATAACAGCGTTTCTCACTCGGTTGTCCCAGGATATACGAGCAATGCTTCGAAGACACCTATGATCGATGACAATCAACCTACGAATATCTACTGTCACTGGCCATGTTTCACAGTCATAAAGTATGACAGAGCAAACTACTGAACAGTACACTCGTCCTTTAGTCAGCGAACGGACATCTCACCTGCTCCATAAGTGACGCAGGTTGGCAAAAGCTAATCGAGCCTTCTATATCCGAGCTGAGATTTTGTCAATCACCGGGTCATCAACACTGATCAGGCTCCTCAGATAAGTGAAGCAGTCAAAACGCCCAACCACTTCACTTCGTATTTAGTTATAGTTTTTTGAAACATTATTATAACCACTAATTAAGCAAGGTTAAATGTATTTTTAAAGATAGATAAATAATTTTATGTTAGTTTTATTAATCTGGATTAACGAATCCGAATTAGTGATTATGTGATGGGTTTTTCACTTTAATTCTTTTACTCTTACTCGTTATGTTAATTTGAGTAAAATTTGTTAAAATACTTTTAATAGTTGTTTTTGATATACTAAAAAAATTGGTTGTACATCTTTTCATGAAACGGCTTATAAATTGACTGATAATGATTGTTTGAATACACTTTTTTTTCTTAGTCTTTCTCTGAACCAGAACGTAGCTTCGGTCCGTAAAATCACTGACTATCAGTCTGTCTTATGAATAGATACTAACCAACTGGCTGCGATTATTATGACGATCGTGTTCAGTGTTTGAATTTGTTAGATGACGTGACTCAAAATCAGTTGCAATAACGCAGATACACTTTTAGTGGTCCATGAACTGACTACAATTTTGACAAATAATCAAGTACGCTATGAAATAAATCTTAGGCGAACCCCCATTTGTACGATGGCGGTAATAAGAAGCCAAATACGGATTCAGTTTGATGGGTTTATCTCATGTAATCCTTCACACAGACAGACGTGAGAACGAAAAGCGTACAGGCAGAGTGTAGTAGGTGAATGAGCTAACTCAATTCGATGAGGCTTGACTAAGTATTTATAATCAAAGAAAAATAGAGTAGACATGCGATAAGCAAAGTAAGCATACACACGTACACTCAAATAGAAACAACTAAGGATATGAGCGAATAATAATAGACAAAAAGTCTAAAGACGTGTGATTAATAACTCGAGAAGAATACTTACTTATTTACTCCTGTCACACCCAGTGGAGCATTGCCCACCGACCAGTGTTCTCCAGCCTACTATGTCCTAGGATTCCATTTCAGTGCTGTCCAATTTTCGTTCATTCCTCTCATACCTTTCTCTGTTTCTCGGCGTATTGTGTTTCTTGGTCTTTCTTTTTTCCTTTGACCTTGAGGGTTCCAAGTGAGGGTTTGTGTTGTGACGCAGTTAGGTGCTTTACGCAGTGTGTCCTATCCACCTCCACCGCTTCTTCCTGATTTCCTGCCTCGCTGGAATTTGGTTCGTTCTCTCCCACAGTGGGTTGTTGGTGATAGTGTCTGGCCACTAATGCGAAGTATTTTGTGCAGATAGCTGTTAATCAAATACTTGTATCTTCTGGATGATGGCTTTCGTAGTTCTCCATGTTTCCGCTCCATACAATAGAACTGTCTTCACATTTGTATTGAAAATCCTGATCTCGGTTTTGGTTTAAAGTTGTTTGGAGTTCCAGATATTTCCAGTTTTAACAATGAAGCTCTTGCTTTGCCGATCTGCGCCCTCACATCTGCATCGGATCCACCTTGATTGTCGATGATGCTGTCCAGATATATCAAGTTTTTACGGCCTCCAAGCATCTCCATCAAGAGTGATTTGGTTGGGTCATGTTGTGCTGTATCAGAGGACCTTGCTTTTCCTTTATGTATATTGAGACCTACTGCTGATTAGGCTGCTACTGCTACACTGGTCGTCTTCTCTTGCATTTGTTATTGCGTATGCGATAAAAGATCCAGGCCATCTGCGAAGTCCAGATCGTCCAGCTGCGTCCTCACTGTCCAGTTGATACCGTGCTTCCCTCCAGATGTCAACGTCTTCATAATCCAGTCTATCATCAGGAGAAATAGAACGGATGAGAGTAAGCAACCATGCCTGACACCGGTCTTCACCTTGAACGAGAAGAATGAATGAATTAATTTGTTCAAAGACTTGGAAATACCTTGTAGGTTCGATATAATCGTACACACTACACATTCACTCGTTATCTTTATCCAAATCTTACACTTCAATATTTCTTTGGATTCTTTTTCACTTCATCTTGTCAACCTTATCTTATGATAACTTGTACACCAATGCATATTTTTTTCATGTCAGGCTCTATGTTGATCATAGTTATTACCTAACTAAACTGTGTGATAAAACTAAGCATATTCTACACTATCAGTCAGTCAGTTACAACGTTGAACTTTGTACGTACGAACGTACGTACATCAGTTCAGGTTCTCATACCGCATCAACACAGAGACACAACATCAGTTCAAATTCAATAGTGGTAGCCATAGTAGAAGTATTAGTAGTAATCAGAAAGATTAGGGTTCGAAGATATGGTTCAAGAAGTAGAATTTAGTGAAAGAAACTTAAAAAGAGAAAGTTAAAGGTGATGAGGAACTCCAAAGATTAGAATTTAAGAGAACACAAGAAATGAATGCACTTGCGCCATTGCAAACAATTCTGAGCCATGTCGTTAAAAGTCTGTAGTTATCGGTTAATATCGTCTCGCGGACCCTAACCAGGTAGCCTACATACTTATTATTATTATTATTATTAGCCTTATTTGTACTATTGTATGACTAGAGAAATAATGATTGCAAAGCTGTATATGATTGAATTATTTTCTATCGTGTTTCTGTTTTACCTCTCATAATCAGGGTGATGTTATAGAGGAAATAACTAGTACTACTACTTCTTCGACTACTACTCCTCCTCCTACTCCTACTCCTACTTCTACTTCTATCAATACCACTACACAAGATAATGTACTCATCACTAATCAAAAACAAACAACTAATAATGATGATGATGATGATGATGATGACGATGATGAAGAAGAACCAATTGATCCAATTCAACCAGATTTTGAAGCAGCTGCGGAAAAATTACATCAAGGTACAAGTTATGTACCACCAATGATTGATTTTTTAAATCAATTTCTCCCGCCACGTTGGGTTAATTGGACTGTACGATTATTTACTGGTCTATTATTAATATCAGGATTTACATTAATAATTTATTTCGGTCCATTAGCATTGGTGCTTATGGTAAGTGTTGATGATGATTATGTTTTGATTTATCATTCAAAAATTTGAAATCAATCAATCAATCAATCAGTCAATCATTGTTAGACTACTACCAACATTATTAGAAATATGGTAGCACTGAAAGACGGTCGTTTTGTCCTAGTGTATGGTACTTACTACTCATCAGCAGTGGCAGTGCGCACCCACGACTCTTTGCACGTTGCACAGGATTCGAACCCGGGACCTTCGGTATTGTGCGCGAATGCCTAACACTTCTGGTCCACTGGGCTGGTTTGATTCAACGGTGTTAATGTCTAGGGGTTTCGCGTGACCTCACCCATTCTTCTTTGGTACTGCCTATAGCTGACAGGGGTGAACTCCACTGGTCACAGCTTTTCACTAGAACTCCAAGAATTTCCTCACGAAGCTTGTCGCTAGCGAGCACATTTTACGATATTTTCAATTAGAATTATGGAGATTAGTGTTTTTACACATTTGAAACCACCAATCAATCATAGTTACTAGACTACCATTAGAAACCTGGTCTCATTGGACGGCCGTTTCGTCAGAGTGTATGGGACTACTCATCTGTATTAACACCGTTGGATGCCGGCCATCTCAGTGGTTCAGAGGTTAGACGTTCGCGCACAATACCGAAGATCATGGGTTCGAATTCTGTGCGACGTGCAGGAGGTGTGGGTGCGCACTGCCACTGATGAGTCCCATACACTCTGACGAAACGGCCGTCCAATGCAGTCTAACAATGATTGATTGATTGATGATTTCAAATGTGTCAAAACGTTCATCTCCATTATTCTAATTGAAAATATCATTCAATATAAAGCTGACGCTTTGTTATCGTAGGAAAAAAATATGGTGTGGGCAAATAAACCATGATGTAATGTCAGTCTGTGAATCTTATTGGTCAACTGATTGACACACAATTTTATATAAATTAATTCTCTATTTTCAAGAGAAATTTTACATTGGTTATCAGGAGAACTAAGTAGGCTGTCCACGTGGCTAAGCATTTCAACGTAAACAGTTCAGTTCAATCGCGTGGTGCAATCACACAGTGGTGCCTGAAACTCTGGTAGACCATTCACAGCATTTCAACCAATCAATCAGTAGTAACGTAGAACTTCGTACGTACGCGCGTACGTACATCAATTCATATTTCCATACCACAAATCTCATAGTAGTAGAGGTAGTGAAAGTATCAGCAGTAATCGAAGAGATTAGGGTTCGAAGATATTATTCAAGATGTAGAATCTAGTGAAATGAACTTAAAAATAAAAAGTCAAAGTTGGTAAGAAATTAAAAAGTTTAGGATTTGAGAGAACACAATGAATGAATGAGCTCCGCCTGTAGACCCTTCGGGGCTACTGCCGGTCCGAATCTCAGATAACGGAGGATAGTTGAGATGTAGGTTGGCGGCCTCATTCCGAGAAAAAACTACTTACTTACTTACTTACGCCTGTTACCCCCAATGGAGCATAGGCCGCCCACCAGTTTTCTCCAACCAACTCTGTCCTGGGCTTCCCTCTCCAGTTCTGTCCAATGTTTGTTCATTCCTCTCATATCTTTCTCTATTTCTCGGCGTAGTGTGTTCCTTGGCCTTCCTCTTTTCCTTTTGCCTTGAGGGTTCCATGTAAGGGCTTGTCTAGTGACGCAGTTGGGTGCTTTTCGTAGTGTATGTCCTATCCACTTCCACCGCTTCTTCCTGATTTCCTCCTCCACTGGAATCTGACTTGTTTTCTCCCACCGTTCGTTGTTGCTGATGGTGTCTGGCCAACTAATACGAAGTATTTTGCGTAGACAGCTGTTAATAAACACTTGTATCTTCTGAATGATGGCTTTGGTAGTTCTCCATGTTTCCGCTCCATACAGTAGAACTGTCTTGACATTTGTATTGAAAATCCTGATTTTGGTTTTGGTTGAAAGTTGTTTGGAGTTCCAGATATTTTTCAACTGTAGAAATGCAGCCTTTGTGCTTTGCCAATCCGCGTCCTCACATCTGCATCGGATCCACCTTTCTCGTCGATGATGCTGCCATGATATGTGAAGGTGTTAACGTCCTCCAAGGTATCTCCATCAAGCGTGATTCGGTTGGTGCATGTTGTGTTGCATCGGAGAATTTTGCTTTTTCCTTTATGTATGTTGAGACCTACTGCTGCAGAGGCTGCTGCTACACTGGTCGTCTTCTCTTGCATTTGTTGTTGAGTGTGCGATAGAAGAGCCACGTCATCTGCGAAGTCCAGGTCGTCCAGCTGCGTGCTAACTGTCCACTTGATACCGTGCTTCCCACCAGATGTCGACGTCTTCATAATCCAGTCGATGACCAGGAGAAAGAGAAAGGGTGAGAGTAAGCAACCTTGCCTGACACCGGTCTTCACCTCGAAAGAGTCTGTCAGCTGACCTCCGTGCACGATTTTGCAGTTGAATCCATCATAAGAATTCCGTATGATGTTGACTATTTTCTCAGGCACACCGTAGTGTCGAAGAAGCCTCCACAGTGTTTTCCTATCCACGCTATCAAATGCTTTCTCGTAGTCGATGAAGTTGATGTAGAGTGGTGAGTTCCATTCAATTGATTGTTCCACAATGATCCGTAATGTAGCAATTTGGTCAGTACATGATCGATCCTTACGAAATCCGGCCTGTTGATCTCGAAGTTGGGCGTCTACGAAGTCCTTCATTCTGTTTAACAATACCCTGTTGAAGACTTTGCCTGGTATTGAAAGAAGAGTGATGCCTGTGTAGTTCTCACACTTGCTGAGATCGCCTTTCTTTGGTATTTTGATGAGGTATCCTTCTTTCCAATCTGATGGTACTTGTTCCTCATCCCAAATCTTCTTGAAGAGAATGTGAAATATTTTCGCAGTTGCTTCCACATCTGCTTTCATTGCCTCTGCTGGAATGTTGTCTGGTCCTGCTGCTTTGCCGCTCTTGATTTGTCTGATGGCTATACTGATCTCCTCAATCGTAGGTGCGCCAATATTAATTGGGAGGTCCTTGGATGCTGCTTCGATGTTGGGTGTGTTCAGTGGAGCTGGTCGATTCAATAGTTCCTGAAAGTGCTCTACCCACCTATTTCGCTGTTGTTCAGTGTTGCTGATTATTTTCCCTTCCTTGCTTTTCACTGGTCGTTCTGGTTTACGATAGTTCCCGGCGAGCTTCTTTGTTGTTTCGTACAATTGTCTCATGTTTCCTTCTCTTGCAGCCTTTTCCGCCGTCATTGCTAGATCTTCCACATATTTTCGTTTGTCAGCTCTGATGCTCTTCTTCACTTCCCTGTTTACTTCTGTGTATGCAGCTTGTGCGGTAACTTTCTCTGCTCTTGTTCGGCTGACATTGATTGCTGCCTTCTTGTTCCTCCTTTCTTCAATTTTTGCAAGAGTATCAACAGAGATCCATTCCTTGTGATGGTGCTTCTTGCGACCAAGGACCTCCTGACATGTTGAAGTGATTGCCTCCTTAATCCCTTTCCAATTGTTCTCCAATGTTGCGTCCTCTCCATTGAGTAGATCCTGAAAGGTCTGGAACCTATTGGTGAGGGCTATCTTGAATTCGTTGAGTTTTACGGTATCCCGAAGAAAGGCTGTATTAAACTTCTGTGATGTTGTCTGCCCCGTTGTCCAGTGCTTCTTTAGCTTCAATCTCATTTTGGCGATCAGCTATTCTCTATCAGCTCCTCTCTTGGTTCTCACATCCTCCATGGTCCTTCTGAACTTTTTGTTGATAGAGATATGGTCGATTTGGTTCTGAGTAGTGTGGTCCGGTGAAATCCATGTGGCTTTGTGAATGCGTTTGTGCGGGAATATTGTGCCACCGATGACCAGTTTGTTGAAGGCATATAGGTTTGCAAATCTCTCACCGTTTTCGTTTCTTTCTCCCAGTCCATGTCGTCCCATGATGTCTTCATATCCAGTGTTGTCCATTCCAACCTTGGCATTTAGGTCTCCCATAAGAATCGTCAAATCCTTTGGTGAACATTTATCGACGATTGACTGCAGCCTTTCGTAGAATTGATCTTTAACGTCGTCATTGTAGTCATTGGTAGGTGCATAACATTGGATGACGTTCATTGTAATGTCCTGTTTCTTTGTTTTGAAGGATGCTTTAATGATCCTGGGTCCATGAGATTCCCATCCTATCAGTGCCTTTTGTGCATGTTTGGACAGCATCAGTGCAACTCCTTGTGTATGTGAAGCGTTTTCCTCTTCATGACCAGAGTATAACAGCAGTTCCCCTGAAGCTAGTCTCAGTTGTCCTACTTGTGTCCAATGCGTTTCACTGATGCCGAGCACCTCGAGGTTGTATCGTTTCATTTCTGCCGCAACTTGAAATAGTCTTCCAGTCTCCCACAATGTACGAACGTTCCATGTACCTAAAAAAATGGTTGCTCTGGTTGTCAGAAGAGGCATCAGCCCCGTGACTTCCGAGGGGACTCGGCTTTCATCACGAGACGTCATAATTCTTCTTCCAACTCCCAGGGCAGAGTTAAAATGGTTTGAATTATTTTTTCTGGTTAGCGTTTTTTTGGCAAGTGAGATTTCAACGGAATGGGGTCGCCAACCCCATGTCCAACCCTCCTCCTTTATCCGGGCTTGGGACCGGCAGTAGCCCCTAAGGTTCTACTGGCGGAGTTGAAAGAACTAACTTGCCAAAAAAACGCTAACAAGAATTCACAGCATGTATATACACTAGCACACATA